AGCCGCATTTCCCCTTGCCACGGGGTGGTCTTGGTGGCCCAGCAGGGATGAATGATGAGGAGGGCCAGATGGCCTCATCCAAGCTGCTATGCCATGATGGTGAGCTTCTGGCTGGGTAATTAAAAAGGACTCAATTTCTGTCACTTCACTGCTATTCTGATAATGGTGAGAAGCCTAAATGGACATCTAATTACTTTCAGTTAATGAGCTTTGTATGATACAGCCCTTGTTCTGATGGGACTACAGTCGTTGTTCACTTCGTGGCTCCTGCCTTGGTTGGTGCAGTGTTCCCTGTTCATCACATCCATGAATTAGAATTGTGTGATCACAGGATTGGGACACTGGGTCAGGGAGAAGTAATTACAACTGGAGTAGTTTGGTGCTTAATGCTGTGGTGTTTATGATGATAAAAACCCCCCACCATGTCAGAATAAATGTTAAGCAGTTCCTCTCATTCGATGCTTTGGAGAAGCCTTGGGTTCCAGGTTGGTTTTGCAGGGAGCAAACTAATCTGGATGCCCCAGTGATATTTTTCCAGCCACTGTTTTCCACCACAACACTTTCTCTAACAACCACTACTTGCACTTCACCTGCCTGAGCAGTGTCAGCTTCATCTGCTTTACTCTGAGAAACTCCAAGCCACAGTTTTTCTTTGCTCTGGCATTTTTCCTGTGTCCCCTCCTTGGTCATTGGTGTATGATTCTTTCCTTGTAATTGTGCAGCTGCAATTTCCTGGAGGATTTCTCTCTGTAGCAGTTCTGTGGAGGGTTAATCCAAAGATTTTGTTCTTTTTTTTTTCCTGCCAAAGAGGATGGTGCTCAGCATCCCTCTTGTACCCACAGCCAGAGCTCTGTGTAAAACTGGTCAGGTGGATCAATGTTGGTTTTCTAGCCTGAGGGGAGGCCTGGGAACAGGGTTCAAGAAGCAAGGCAGTCTGCTTGAAAGCCTACAATTGGAAAAAGAACGTAGAGGTGGAGCTGCAACAGGGTTTGAAGGGATATAAAATAGATACAAGTCTTGTAGATACAAGAAAAATGCTCAGTCTTGTGCTAGATGTGTGGACATCGTGGTGACCAGAAAAGAGAACACCTCAGTTTTTTCTTTCTTAAAGTTTCTCTGTCCTTTTAGTCCTTGGTGTGATATTTACACAAGTGATCTCTTAAGAGTGTTGTGTCTCTAACTTAGTCAAACTCTCAGGTGCTTGTGACAGTGGTTGAGAGGAATAGTGTAAACCTGTGGTTCTCTCTTGAGAGCCCTGAGCTTAGTATGTTGTTGCAGTGACTGTTTTCTGAAAGCTTCCAGCAGACTATCTTTTTTTGTAGCTGCTAAAACCTGTCTTAAAACTTGTGCAGACAGTTTGTTGCCATCCTTGATAGTTTTGCTGCTAAACCTGATGTAGGTGGGGGCAGAACTGGCAGAGCCCTGGGGTGCTCTGCTCCCCAGCCTGTTTCCCTCTGAGCTCCTCGAAGTGGTCCTCCTGCAGCTCTTTGTGGTTGGCACTGACTGTGTTTCTTTGCTTGTGAAGGAAACGCCTCTGGGGAAAAAAACCCTTCTCATTGTAGGAGGTGACTTAGCAGGAAGATGAAGGGAGCCTTTGGTCTGAAGGTGAGACTGAAGCTGTGAGTTGCAGTTGGTGCTGCTGTGTTGGTGAAAAACCCTAACAATTTGTTAGCTGTGGGAGCAAGGACAGTGTGGCAGGTGCCTTGGACATGCTAGTTGTGCATCTTGGTGTCATTCCAGTTGGTGGAGAGAGACGTAAGGTGCTGGTGAGGCTGCCCTGGACAGCTGGCTCCCCTCAGGCATGGGGCTTCAGTGGTGGCCAGCAGTCCTCTGTGTTCTCTGTGCCTGGGGTGCAGAATTTCTTCCATGAAAAACCTCTGCTCTGAATTGGTGGAATACAGGTCTCCTGAGGTGAGTTGAGCCTCGTGATGTCTCATTCCTGGGATGCAAGGGGGCTGCCTGGCTGATCCCAGACCATCAGCTGGTACACTGCTGGGACATCCCCCAGAAACAACATCTTCCCAGTTAATCACATAAATTCTCCAAAACACAATCCTGCTTGATCCACATAAAATGCCCAATCTGTAACTAAACCCCAGTGTCTGTCATGCTTTTCTGAACCTTGGTGTAAGCATAAACCACCACAGTGTCTCCCAGGTGGAGAGGTTGTATCAAGCTTGCTGTGCTTGGATATCAGATGCAGATGAACTTTTTAATTTGTTGCTTCTAGGAGGGGTGGGAAAAACCTGCCTGTCATTTGGAGCACCTACATTTTGTTATGCTGACTCTGCAGGACAGATTCTAGGTAGATTCTGGGTATCTGGAGAGAAGGATGTGTTTCTATAATAAAAACATCTGGATGCCTGGAAGCTGAGCTCAGCAGTAGCTGAGCCCTACTGTGCTGGTTGGAATCAGACCATCTGTGCAGAGGAAGAGCAGCCTTTCTTGAAGCATAAAGGAAAAAAGCCCTTATGGAAAAAGCAGCCATTCATGAAAACCTTCCATTTCAGAGTAAATCATGCCTGCTTCTAGCTTAAAGGGACTGCAAATCCTCCCCATCATGTCTCCATAACCATTCAGATGATTGGTTACTGCTTCTGGAATGACTAATTTAGAAAACACCACCACACAGTTGTGCTGTCTGTGCACCTAGGGAAGTGAATGTACGTGTGGCCCAGCCCTTTCATCCCATGCCTGGAAAACCCCCACTCTGAAGCCTCAGGGCCTTGGGTGGAAACTTTTCTTTTAGTTCTCTCCTGATACTTCTCTGAAATTGTGATGCTGTGAAGTTCATACTTGAGACTCTTTTCCTGAAGTCTTTCTTAGGAGGAGGCTACATTTCTGGTGCTCTCCTGAGTGGATTCTGTTGACTTTGCAGCTCATCCAGTGCTCTGGAATCCCAGTGACCTTGAACACGTTTTGTATCCTGACATTTGCACTGAAGTGCATCAACTTGAAGATAAATGGAACAAATGTGTGGGGAAGCTTTTAGTCAGTCCCAGGTTTCATCTCTTCCAGACACCCACGTTTCTGCATTTAGAACTGTCAGTGGTATTAATTAAATTCAGGATCAAGCTGTATAGTCTCTAGGAGTCACAGTAATGGCTTTGTGTGGTTCATGCCCTGGGATATAGGAGTGAAAGAGGGGAGGGAAGGCAGGGGAGCAGGAGGCCTCTGGTTGTGCAGGGCTCTGCAGTGGGAGGAAGCCTCATCCTTCTCTGAGCAGGTTTATGAGACTGGACTTCATGCTGAAAGGTGAAGAAAAGAGGAACAATTCATCAGAACTGAGCAATATTGGAAAAGGCTGACTCTTACTGCTCCCTGTCCCTTTTCTGAAAAACAAGTTAAAATAGGATTATCTCCACTGTAATGATTTATTCTAGGGATTTTTCATTTCCCTCTGCATCTACCATTGGCAGGGAGAACTAGGGAAGTATTTTCTGTATCTTGTGCTCTTTTATACTTGTGAATTAAAAGCTGCACAGACCAGCTGTTCTCTGGGAAGCACTTTTATTCCCTTGTGGTCTTTTTTTTTCCTAGGAAACTACTTTGCAAGTCATTTCTTTATGGGAGGAGAGAAGTTTGACACCCCTCACCCCGAGGGCTACCTTTTTGGTGAGAACATGGATCTGAACTTCCTCGGGAACAGACCTGTTCAGGCAAGTTCCTCTATGCTGTCTGTTTTACCCTTTTATTTGCTGCCTCTTTTGCAAAATCCTCCATAGGGCTTGCAGAGGAGGATAGCAGAGACCTGAAAGATCCTCACTATCTGGAGAGTATCATTCCAGCCTGAGGTACAAGAGTGTTTTCTCACCCCATGTCCCAGCTTGTTGGCTGCTGTGGTTGTTTAGAGGCAAACAGAGTTTTCCTAAGAAGCAGCATTCACCTTTTAGGCTTGTTTTCACTTAGGGCAGAAAGAAGAAGTAGTGGGGGAAGAGGGACAGGAACTCAGGTCCACTTCCAGAGCCTGAATTCCTGGGCACACTGAATGGTTTCCAGCCAATACTCAGCATGTGCTGTTGCCATGTAACCAGGTAGCCTGAGTGGCTGTAGGGCAGTGTTAAGACAGATCTTGATATTTGGTGGGTTTTGTTTGCTTTGTAATCTAGGTCAGCTGCTCAGAAAGTCCCTCCTTTGGTTTTCCTCATTGGAACATGGAGGTATTTCTGAGCTCACAGGTCATTAGAGTCATCAGGGTTGGAAGGGACCTCTGGAGATCATCTAGTCCAACCCCCTGCCAGAGCAGGATCCCCTACAGTAGGTTCCACAGGAACATGTGCAGGTGGGTTTGTAATGTCTCCAGAGAAGGAGACTCCACAGCCTCCCTGGGCAGCCTGTCCCAGGGCTCTGTCACCCTTTGTATCCTGACATTTGCACTGAAGTGCATCAACTTGAAGATAAATGGAACAAATGTGTGGGGAAGCTTTTAGTCAGTCCCAGGTTTCATCTCTTCCAGACACCCACGTTTCTGCATTTAGAACTGTCAGTGGTATTAATTAAATTCAGGATCAAGCTGTATAGTCTCTAGGAGTCACAGTAATGGCTTTGTGTGGTTCATGCCCTGGGATATAGGAGTGAAAGAGGGGAGGGAAGGCAGGGGAGCAGGAGGCCTCTGGTTGTGCAGGGCTCTGCAGTGGGAGGAAGCCTCATCCTTCTCTGAGCAGGTTTATGAGACTGGACTTCATGCTGAAAGGTGAAGAAAAGAGGAACAATTCATCAGAACTGAGCAATATTGGAAAAGGCTGACTCTTACTGCTCCCTGTCCCTTTTCTGAAAAACAAGTTAAAATAGGATTATCTCCACTGTAATGATTTATTCTAGGGATTTTTCATTTCCCTCTGCATCTACCATTGGCAGTGGCCATCAGTACTACAAGGAAAGGGAGAACTAGCAAGTATTTTCTGTATCTTGTGCTCTTTTATACTTGTGAATTAAAAGCTGCACAGACCAGCTGTTCTCTGGGAAGCACTTTTATTCCCTTGTGGTCTTTTTTTTCCTAGGAAACTACTTTGCAAGTCATTTCTTTATGGGAGGAGAGAAGTTTGACACCCCTCACCCCGAGGGCTACCTTTTTGGTGAGAACATGGATCTGAACTTCCTCGGGAACAGACCTGTTCAGGCAAGTTCCTCTATGCTGTCTGTTTTACCCTTTTATTTGCTGCCTCTTTTGCAAAATCCTCCATAGGGCTTGCAGAGGAGGATAGCAGAGACCTGAAAGATCCTCACTATCTGGAGAGTATCATTCCAGCCTGAGGTACAAGAGTGTTTTCTCACCCCATGTCCCAGCTTGTTGGCTGCTGTGGTTGTTTAGAGGCAAACAGAGTTTTCCTAAGAAGCAGCATTCACCTTTTAGGCTTGTTTTCACTTAGGGCAGAAAGAAGAAGTAGTGGGGGAAGAGGGACAGGAACTCAGGTCCACTTCCAGAGCCTGAATTCCTGGGCACACTGAATGGTTTCCAGCCAATGCTCAGCATGTGCTGTTGCCATGTAACCAGGTAGCCTGAGTGGCTGTAGGGCAGTGTTAAGACAGATCTTGATATTTGGTGGGTTTTGTTTGCTTTGTAATCTAGGTCAGCTGCTCAGAAAGTCCCTCCTTTGGTTTTCCTCATTGGAACATGGAGGTATTTCTGAGCTCACAGGTCATTAGAGTCATCAGGGTTGGAAGGGACCTCTGGAGATCATCTAGTCCAACCCCCTGCCAGAGCAGGATCCCCTACAGTAGATTCCACAGGAACATGTGCAGGTGGGTTTGTAATGTCTCCAGAGAAGGAGACTCCACAGCCTCTCTGGGCAGCCTTTCCCAGGGCTCTGTCACCCTCATAGGAAAGAAGTTTTTCCTTATGTTCAACTTGAACTTCCTTAGGAGTCTTAGGAGCCTGGGAAAAGCTGCCTGCTCCAGCAATTGTCTAATTTTCTGGTTGTGAACAGGGAATAGCACAGTTGGGAGGGACAGAAAGGGATTTAATGCATGTGTTATGTTTAGGATTTCCCTTGCATCCCAGATCTGCTTAAAAAGAGCTACAAGGAATCAGAACAGGAGCCATTTGGAGATGTTTTCAGAGTGCTGGAGAGGAAGGGGAAAAGAGCTGCTTGCTCTGCCAGTTGCTCTAGTTCTTTCTGCAGCTTCAAAACCAGAAAGAGAAAAACTGGTCATGGTTCTTATCTTCAGAAAAGCTGTGACTGTTGGTTAATTCATGCTCAGAGGCAGCTCAGTATCCCCCCTGTCTTAGAGGTGGAGGAAGCTGAGGCAGAAGGACTCGACCAGTGATGAGCATGTTCTGCTTTCTGAGCTCTCCTTGGGCTGTGCTGTTGGGCTTCTCAGCACCACAGGTCATTGACAGGACCAGGGAGAATCCAGAGAGCCCCTGTCCAAGCAGAAAGTGCAGATGAACAACAGAATTAAGAAGGAGGATGGAAATGGTTGTAATGGTGCTGTGCAAGCATGGGGTTGCTCACCACATGCCCCACACTGTGTCTGCACACAGGGCCCCTGCAGGACAGCAGTTAAAAGCTGAACACTTCTGTGCCCTGTGGCTGGCAGAGACACTGTGCTCCCCTGAAAGCAGAAGGTGCAGCTAAATGTCCTGTATGCTGTGAGGATCAGCCTTGCAGAGTCACACTGCCTGCATGTTTCAGCCTTGCAGACATCCCAGCACTGAATTTCATCATTCCTTCAGAAGGGAGTGGGTGAGGATGCTATTAACACACTGGGATGTTTGCCAGGAGGAGGCTGTCCTGGTGTGGAGTTTGCCTGTGGAAAGTTGATGCCCTTTGGCAACTCTGATTCATCTTCAAGGGAAAAAACCCTCAAACACAGAGCAGCAAAACTGCTTTCTGAACATGGGCCAAGTTCTGGCTTTTTGGAGTAGCTAGGGTCTTGACTGCCCTGTGTAGGACAGTGCTACCAACCACAGCACCCAGCTGTTGGGGTACAAGGGAAGCAGTTGCTGCTGCCCTGGGAATTCCCTGCTGCCTGTGGCTCTGGCATGGGGTCTCCTAGGAGATCTTTTTTGGTGTCCTCAGGGAACAGCATGTCTTTCCTCAGGGAACACCATGTCTTCCCTCAGGCTCTGGCTGTGGCCCCACCAATACATCTCTGTGGCCTGAGAGGACAACACTGATGGGTTGTGTGCTGGAGCTGCCCTGGAGTCCAGCTGCAACAGTTTTGGCTGCCTGATCAGCAGACTCCTCATTTCTAAGGAAACGTGTACACTGGTGGTCCCTGGTGCCTTTGCTCCATGTCAGTCCCTCTCTCCACACCACTGCAGGGTGTGTGTTTGAAGGACCCCACCTCTCATGGGGCTGCATGGTGGTACTCTTGCTGGGTATATTCAGAGAGTCATAGAGTCATTAAGGTTGGGAAAGACCCCCTAAGATCATCAAGTCCAACCATCAACCCAACCCCAGCATGCCCACTAAACCACATCCTGAGGTGCCATGTCTAGGTGTTTTTTGAATACCTCCAGGGATGGTGACTCCACCACTTCCCTGGGCAGGCTGTTCCAATGCCTGAACATTCCTCCAGTGAAGAAATGGTTCCTAATATCCAACCTCAGCTTCCATCAGGACCTCTCAGAGTGACCTTCCACCCAAAAGCCTGCCCCAGAGCTCTGCACCCTGGTGTTGTGCTGTTGCTTTACCTTGGAGAAGTGGCTGTGCCTCCAGGCTGGGCACCCTGGCAGTTGTGTGAGTGGATGGTTCACTTCCAGACCCTGCTGAGCAGATAAGAGATCCAGCAGGCAGGTCTTCAGCTCTACAGGTTGAGGTCACCACATTAAGCTGTTTCCTTTGCATTTCTCACTGGAGATTCTGTCACCAGCAAGGAGAATTACAATCTGAATTACAGCCCTTTACTTGAAGGACGATCTGTGAGAGAAGTTCTCTTGCCTGCAGAATAGAATGAGGCCCCTATCCCTGTCTCTTTTCTTTTCCAGAACATTTGCCCCATTGTTTCAGAATAAAAAAGAGATCCCCCCAGTAATCCAGGGCCTTGGCATGGTGATTAGCAGTCAAGTCACTGTTTGCATGCTGTAACACACATGAAAGAGCTGCATTTCTTCTCCTCAAGCTGGAGGTGGTTTCTTTAGTGGAAAGAAAAGCTTGTGAGAACAGGGCTTTCTAGACTGAGAATTAAGGGTACAGAAAAAGAGCTTGTGAAAATGCCCCCTTAAAGTACCTCCTCTCAATATGAGCTAATCCTGGGCCAGAGCAGGATTTTCACCCTGAAATATGTTTGATTTATCTGTAAATGGAGTTGTCTGCTACTGTTCCTTGTGGCTGTTGTGCTGAGCACCCTTAAAGGGAGATGTTTCTTGGGTAAATTGTGTGTCAGGTAACATTCTGCTACCTTTTATAGTATAATAATAAGAAGGTTATTTGCCTTTTTGTTGCAGTTTCCCTATGTAACTCCAGCTCCACATGAGCCTGTGAAGACACTGAGGAGTTTGGTGAATATCCGCAAGGACTCTCTCCGTCTTGTCAGGTACTGTCATTGCCTGAACTCTTCACTTAATTCAACCCAGGGATCTGGCATCCAGAGCCAAACTGTATTTGTTATGGTTTTGGAGAAATTGCTGAATTCCAGTTCCTTGTTGCTAGATGTGTCCAGAGGTTGCCACGTTCCCTTGTGATGAGAGCCTTCAGGTGGTTTCTACGCTCTGGATCTCTAGACTTGAGCAATCTGTGTTTCCAGACAGTTCCAGTGATGTGTCTGTCCCCTCAGGACTACCACTAGAGTGGTAAAAACAAAACAAAACCATGGAACATTAGCATGAATGGAAGGTATTAGTCAGGTCCATAAACCCCACAGACAGATTCCTTTCTGCATTCTTGTGCAAGGAGAAGCTGGAAAGTAGCTGATTCTGGTGTAAGTCAGAGGCCAGGAAGGCTGCTTGATCTTGAGTGAAGCTTCCTGAGGTTTCTCCTGCTGCCAAGATGAAGTTTGGACCTTGTCCTGTGCATCCATTTAGATGGCTTGTGTCCCATGTGTAGGAGGTCTGGATGATCCTGGAGGTCTGGTTGACCCTGGAGATCTGTTATGTTTGACTGCTCTTCCCTGAGATCCAAACCAGCACTAGCTGGGCTGAAACCAGTGGCCAACACTCCGACCTGTGGCTGCCCTCTTGCAAACAGCTGGCTCCAGTACAGGGCCCCAGCAAACAGTGCTTTGTTTTGGTCTGAGCCACTGGGCAGATGTCCAGGCAGAACATGTCTCACAGATCCTGGAGCTGCTCGGAATTCTGCGTTTCAGGGGCAGGGCTGGAGTGCTGGCAGGGGACCAGCTTCAGCTCTCAGCCAAGGTACTTCTCAGAGCATGGCCTAACGTGGGTAATTTGAGTCATAACCACACCAACCCCTCTGTTTGTTTTTACTCGAAAACTGAAGGTTGGTTTGTTTTGTTTTGTTTTTTTGTTTTATTGGGTTTTTTAAATGAGTTTCAAAACTGTGGTTTCAAAACTGATTGCACAGGAAAAGAAGGAAGAACTCCTGAAAAAGTAACTATTGGTCAACTGCTCTGAATGCTGTCTGGGTTTTTCAGCTAAAGGGTGAAGTAATTCTCTAGGAAAAAGCCTTGCTTGCCTCCCACACTTGCTGTGTGGGGTGTTTTGTTCCACATGTAAACACTGTGACATCTCTCGGAAGCCAGATGGGAAGTGGCTTTTCCACTGGGAGAGGCTGTGCTGTGACTGGAGGGGTTGGTGGGGTTCAGTACTTACAGTCCTGCCATTCTCCTTGCTGTGGGTGCCCCTTCTGTCCCCCCAGGCAGAGCTGCAGCTCTGGCCTATTTGAGATGTGTCTGTGCACCTTGACAGTGTCTAGATTTGCATCTAATTCCTGCTACTGTCCCTTGCATCACTTCTTTCTCTGCCTCATGGGCTCTCACAGGCTCTTGTCCTGCTGCTGCTGAGTTAGTGCTGATGACAACACCCTCAACATTATTCCATTTAATTTTGTACTGATGTAGAACCAAAATGAGATTTTAATTGCCAGTCCCCAGAGTCTTGTGCTTTTCTAGTGTTCTGGACTAGAGGCTTTTCCTTCCTCCCCCTGTGCACGTAGAGACATTTTGTGCCCTCTCCAGCTTGGCTTTTTTGCAACCAGTGGTTGAGGTTTGCACATCCTTTCCAGAACTATTTCAGTTTAATTTACCAACTCCTCTACCCAATAAAAGGATGCTGAGCTGAGTGTGTAGGTGTAAAGTAGGTTCTGATGGTAAAATCCTCACAAGCTTTTTGGTTTTCAATGTGTTTAATTGAAAATTCATTGTTTACACCCATGAAGAGGGTGTTGATCCATACTTAGGGCTTTATGAAGGAATATGAGGAAATGTCTGGCTCTGACCAGACAAAATTCTGAGCTTTGCCAAATCCTGGATATTTACAGCAAGTTTAGGGAGAAGCCATAAACGTGGATATTGGAGTTGAAGTTCTGAGTCTTCGACACCTCCTGAGAGTGCTTGATTTTTTGCAGGATGTGACTCCATAACCCTCAGAGGAAGCAGCATGAGTTTTGCTGCTAACCCCTAAGAGAAAAGGGCTCTCTTGTGTCCCTCTCTTGGCCATGAACTGGAAGCCTATTTCAGAGGTGAAGTACCTGACAGGCTGGCACTGGCTGTTTCTTCTTACTTTGAAAGCACTTCAGCTGCAGAAGGAAGATAACTCAGGAAGCAGTGGGTTTAGTGGAGAAGCTGCATCCTGGGATAAAGCCTCTGTGGAACAAAAGTGCTCAAGGAATCAAAAAACAGAGTGGTTTGGGAATGTGTTTGAAGCAGCAGCAATATTGTGGAGGGTGGTGAAAGCAACAAGCCTTTTGGATAAGGGGCTGAGAGGGGGGCAGATGACAGGGACTGAGGGAAGTCAGGTGAGTTGCTATCAGAGAGAGAAGTGAAATACCTTCTCTTCCCTCTCCAACACAGTGGGGCTGACCATGATCCTTGGAGCAGTTCATCCCTTGGTGGAGATGGTGAAGGTGCTGGGCCTGCCTGCTCTGCACCCCTGGATTGTGTTGAACTGTGTGCAGACCTCTGCAGGACCCCCAGACAGGAAAGCCTCCAGTTGATGGTGATCTCCCCCCATGAAGTCAATGTTGATAGAGATGTCAGCTAGTTCTTACTTCATTTAGTGCCTGCTCTAACCTTGTACTGCATAATTCACAATGCTAAGTCAAGCAATATTTAGCATTTATCCTGCATGTCTCATAAGTTGTGGGTCTAACTTTTTAATCTCAAAGGATGAGATCAGGCTCAACTTCACCTGGTTCTAGAAAATTGTCATGGCTGCTGTTAATTCTATTTTTATCTTTTAATTCTTTAACAGACAAACAAAAAGTTCCAGCATTTCCATTATTTTATCCAGAAGTGATGTCAGACCAAGCTCCCTTGGTCATCCTGCTTTGCCTTTTTCATCATAACATTGGATCAGCTCTTTGCTCTGGAAGGTGGTCAGTGTCTTCTGCTCTGTTGTGTGGTCACCTTGTGTGCATGACAGACACATGTGGCACACCCACCACAGTCACTACTTTCTAAATCTGTGCATGCAGCTGTGGCCACCTCACAACAACACTGTTTCTAGGGCTTGACTAAACGTACACTGCAAGCTCCAAGTGCAGGTGGGGTCAGAAGAGCTCTTGAACCACCTCCCTGTCTGCCAAGACTGTTGCAAAGATGGAGGGAATGCAAATGGTGTGACTTCATCTTGTTAACCCTCTTGAAGTACCTCAGATGTCTCTGCCTCTCAAAGTATGCACCAAAGTAGTCCTTGCTTGGTCTTTGGTCCAGCCACCAGCTGGCATAGCTGCTTCTGCAGCCTTTCCTCCCCTGAGCTCCTTGCTATGTGGCAGATGACACTCTGAAGTCCCCAGCATGGTGCCTCAGGAAGGTGTGACAGCCTTGCTGTCACCCTTCAGCCACATGGGCTTTGTCCCCCTGCTGCACCTAGAGCTGTGGCTCTGCTTCTTCCCAGCACATGCAGCCTCCAGAAACCTTCTCTCCAGGCACTGCAGTTGGTAGTGCCCCTTGAGTGGTTTCCCCAGGCAACAAGATCTGTTCTAGTCAGACTTAACCCCTTTTCTCCTGGAAGGGATGGAAGCACATTGTGAGGGTGGGCAGGGAGCTACAGAGGTGAGGCTGAGAGCAGGGGGGTGCTCTGGGAGCCCCATGCTTTTTGTGACCTCACTTAAAAGACAAAACAGCCAATGGATTTACTATTGACATGTTGCTTTTCTGTCAGGTCTCCCTCCCTCCCTCAGCTCTCCCACCTTCTTACCTGGGGCTGTTACAGGTGTGGAGACTCATGCTGTTGTTGGTCTGGAGCTGGTGCATCTCCATTATTACCTCCCTCTGTGTGCAGTCAGTGTAGGTCTGAGGAGCAGCCTTCATCCATCCCTACCTGGAAGGGAAGTTGGTTCTCCCCACCCTACCTCTGGAGGAAGTGGTGAGTGGATTGTGGCCTAAAGATCATGCTCCCCTTGTCCTTTGCTGCTAACCTTGGAGAACAGCACAGCAAGAAATCATTTGCAGAAGCTTGTGTTGCTGCTTTCTCTGGACACCCAGCACTTGTGAGCAGATTGGTGCCTTCTGTCTTCTTGGGTCAGTCCAGCACAAGATGGTGAGGCTCTTCCTGTGTTTTCTAGGCAAACTTGCCCTGCTGGCTCCTGTTCTTGCTTACAGCCCTCAAATGCCATGATTTTATCCTTTGAATGCAACTATCCTGTGTGAAAATATTTCTCTGCAGTCTATATCATATCCAGGCTGCTGTAGACGTTCAGATTCTCACTCCTTAGAATTTGTCTGGTTTATACTAGTATGTTGGGTGTATTCTAGCTTAATTTGTTGCTCTGACCTAGGTGAACCTCTGGTAAAAGCCTCCTTTGGAGCTCTCCAAGTCCTTCAGACAGGAATGCAAGTGCATGTTGTAGTGATTGACCAGGGTTACATGAGTACGAATTTGATTTGATTATATTGCTCTTAAACTTCATTTTGGACCTCCTGTATTCAATTGCTGAAGGTGAACATCTCATTCTTGTTCAGTGGGATGTTAAGGAAAGTGGGTGCTGGAACCCTCTTCATTAGGCAGCAGTTATTACATCTCAGTGAACTTGGTAAATAAGGATTCCCTTGACAGTCCTGAGGTTGAATTGTGAAGGTGTGTCTGGGCTATTTCTGAGGATTTTCAACAGCATATTCATCAAGGCTGTTTAATGAGAGGAGAGGCTGGGGCTGGGAAGTCAGAGGTGGTGCCAAGCTTCTCCTGAATGGTTCAGCTGCTTGGCTTTGCCCCAGGCATGGTGGCAATTAAAGTAATGCTGATAGACAAGTGAGGCTGGAGCTGGGCAGCACATCAAGCAGTGGTGTGCACCTCTCACAACCTGCTGCCTTCACCATTCCTACACAGGCTACTGTGTAGGAACTACTGTGTAGGAACTACTGGTGGTACCTACAGATCACAGTGGGATTTCATTTTATGTCTGAGAATCTGCTTCTTGTCCTGCCAGAGAATCACCTCCCTTCTGTCACTTTGCCCTTCAAAGCTGTGGAGATCTTCTCATGGTGGGTTGTGTTGGCTGTTTGTTCCAGGATCTGCTGGTCTTCCTGGCCACTCCTGGCCTGCCAGAGCTCACTGCTTATCCGTGGCCAGAGCTTGCTGCCCTGGAGCTTGCCTCACACCACCTTCTCCACCAGATTTGTTACCTGCCTTTTCCAGCACTGGGGAGGGAGAAGGAGTAATACTGGGTACTGGGGATCATGCAGTGGATCCAGCTGTGCAGTGGCCCATAGCCAAGTTATGACTCACCATTGTGTTCATTAAAATAACATCTGAACTCATTCTCATGCCTCTTATGCAGTTGAATGTGTTCATTTTGGTTCGTACAATAAAGGTGTGGAAGCTTCAGCCATTGGCAGCAGGTTTAGTTGGTGATTTCTACACATAAAGGTATTTGAAGCTCCTATATTTGGATGCTTTCTGATCTATCATCATTTCTGTGATACTGGAGGTGCCTTTTGTTGAGTTTCAGGGGTTCTTTGTGTTACAGAAACCTTGGGTTTGCCTGTTATGCACTATTTCCTTTGAAGAGTTCAAAGAATTAGGCTTTAGACTTCTCAGGCCTATGCAGGGCTCCTTTATCCCAAACACTGAGCCTGATGGGAAGGGTTAAAAGCAGAGAAAATGTTTCTTCTCCTGAGGGTTTGGCATTCAAGAGTTGACTTTCTTTTCTGACCCTGTGTCCTGGCAATGGAAGTCTAGGTGAGATCCCTCTACACCATCACCACATACCTCACTCCAACAAGTTCCTTCACATCTTGGAAGAACCTTCTTCAGAGGAAAGAACAGAAACCTCCTGGGAAGCCCCACGTGGAAGGCCCTGGTGCAGAACACCTAACTTGGAGTACTCTTGTCCTGATTTCCAAAATGGATCTTGGTGATGTCTCATAAATACATCTTCTGACCCTCTTGGCATTGTCTTTCAGGTATAAAGATGATGTTGACAGTCCTACAGAGGAGAGTGGGAAGCAGAAGGTCCTGTACAGCCTGGAGTTCACGTTTGATGCCGATGCCCGTGTTGCCATCACCATCTACTGCCAGGCTACAGAAGAGTTTGTTGGGGGCATGGCAGTGTAAGTCCTGGGCTTGTGGGCACGTGGAGGGACACAGGAACCCTGGGGTGATGAGATCAAACGTCTCTCATGAATACATCTCTCGTGAATCACCCCTGAGGGCAGCGCTGCCACAGACGGTGAAGAGGGAAATCTCTGCTTTGTTTTATGTATTCTGATAGCTTTGAATATTACTTTCACTTCCCTTCCCCACACAGCCAATAGCTTCTCTTGTTCCCTTTTTGGTTAGTTTTTTTGGTTTTTGGGGAAACCCTTCAGTGTGGAACAAAGGAGAGGAGCCCACAGCTGTGGGCCTTGTCAGCAGGATGTTCTGTGAAGTGAAAAAAACCACCAAAAAATCACCCTGCCCTTCAATACTTCCTGTCTTGTTGCCTTTTTTTTTTTCCCCCAGAACACCTCATTCACTGGATTTCTGTGTTCCCTGGGACAGGAGCACCAAGGCCACCAAAGTAAAGTTTAGTCTGAGATGTGTATAGTGAGTCTGTGGAACTGAAGTCCCCCCCAAGCCCCTCTTGGGATTAGTGAGCACCTCAACGTGGGCTGTTGGGAGGATCTGCTGCCTGAAACCCTGTCTGTGTGTTTCCTGCCAGTACCTGTATTACCCTTGGCTAGTTGTAGAAAGAATGGTCAAAACATCATCCTTGGAGTCTTTCTCACATCCTGGTAGTCTATTCTTAGAGATTTCAAACCCTTTTAATCTAAAGCAGCACCTTTAAACCATCCCCACCAACACTGTATCCCATAAGACTACAGAAGATTCCCTCTCTGTATGAAAAGGTGGCTGAAATGTGCTCTCCCTGGTGTGAATTGGGTACATGTGAGGTGCTGGCACATTACAGCAGGATTCTGGTGGCCATGGGACAAAGATTTGCCTTTATTTTTTTATGGATAAAGGAAGATTCAGGCTGCAGAAGCTCTTGGCTTCCTCTAGTAGAAGCTTCTGGCTGCTCAGTAGCTCTGTGCAAGTAGTGCTGCTGGCTTCTGCAGTGGTGCTCTGCATTTGGGGCAAACATTTTATGGAAGGGATCTCAGAGGTTTCAGCAGGGAGAAATAGGGATGACAGGCCATCAAATGGCTGTTTTATGCAAAGCATAAACATCCCAGTAACAACCAGTGAACAGGGTATTTTTAGAAATGAGACAAGCTCAGTGCACCCAGCCAGATGTGCAAATCCTGCAAACTGGAGGATATCCTGATCCAGATTTTTTTTGTTCAGACCCCTTCTCTTCTTCTGTTGAAGCCTGTTGGCTGCCTTTATTTTGGGGAGGTAATAAATTAGCTCCTTTTTAAGTCCTTGAAAAATACCTCTCAGCAAACTCTGAAAAGCCCTTTGATTTAGATCCAGTTTTTTCCCGAGCAGAGCTGAACACTGCAGGATGCCTTAGAAATCCTCATAAAGCTTCCATGTTCTGTCTCTTAGGTCCTTAGGTTTCCTGTGAATTTAGTGCTAGTGAAGGTGCTGGAATGGCAGCCTTGGAGATTGAAGTCTTCTTTTCCTAACAAAGGTACAACATGGAGAGGTGCCAGTGTCCCTTGTGCTGCCTGCAGTGTTCCTTGTTTTTTGACCCGAGGTGGAAACAGTTTGTGGGTTAATGGGGAGAACTGAGGGCCTCTATGGCCAGGGTGGATGCATTTCCATTGTCAGACTTCAGCCATGGCTTAAATCAGCCAGGAATTCTTGGGTTAAGTCATTGTTTTTAAACTTGTTTTGCATATTGACTTGTTGGTTTTCCTGAAAGGAGAAGGTTTGTCACTGGTCGGTGACAATGAAACATCTACACTTAGAACTTGGTGTCAACTTCATGTTAAACCTTGTACTACATTTATCCAAGACCTTAACTCTGTTTAAAAAATGTGTATGTTTTCAAATGTATTTCTCCCCCCTGCAGACTCCTACTTTTATGTTTTGTTATGTCAAAATGAGAACAAGAAAAGTTATTCTCAAAGGAAAAGAGACATTTATATTTTTAACCTGTGTCTTGAACCAAACTTTGTGGGGTTGGAAGTGCAGCTAAATCACCTGAGACCTGCTCTGTGTTGGACTCTGTCTTGTCAAGCAGTGCCTTTAATAATTAATTAATTGAAGTATTAGTTACTGAATAGAACTGTTTCTGGACAGAGTATGTTTTCAGTAACTAGTAGCTCTCCTCTTGGAACTTTGTGGGTTGGTTGGAGGAGGAAAACACAGTTTCTGGTTCACTTAAGAGCACATTTTGCTGAAATGTAGTGCTGTGCACTGAGCCAGTGACTGACACCAGTGCTGCTGCCTGTTCTTTAAAGCTTATGCAGCAGACATGAGCTGCCTAATTGCTTTTTAAATTTGATTTGAGCAATTCCTAAGCAGTATTTTTGAAAGTTAACACGACTGGTCAACTTCAAAGACTTTTTTTTAATACAATTTTTTTAATCCACCCTGTCCATGGTTCACTGAGCTGGATTTAGATGTCAGAGGAGAATCCTTTGGTGATGGACCCTGCCTATCTCTGCATGAAACCAGGACCAGCAGTCATTACCTCCTTAACCAAATGTAGGTGACAATGCTGTGCTGCCCCATGAGGGTGGCAGGGTGTCCCCAGGGCACTAAACTTGAAAAGTTAAAGCACTCAAGATTTAGCTCTTACTTCCACTGCTGGCCTTTTAATTAATAAATCATACTCTAATTAATAATAATCCTAGTATAGGAGTGATTAACTGTCCCTGCTCTGGAGTTCTTGGACAGTAAATGTTCTACAGGTAGGGAAGTGGAGAGATGCACTCAAAGAGGGAAACCCTTTGGGACTCATGATCCTGATTTCATGCAGATGTGTAGATAATAAGTGCTGGGGGAAGTGAGCTACAAATATAGATTTTCCAACCTGCTTTCATTCACCCCAGACTATTTTTCCATGTGGAAGTGGCTCATGGAGCACATCCTGGGGCTAGAGCAGCTGCCTGAAGGAAGAATCTCTGCTTCTCTGGATTTGCTGGCTGCTAGTAAAAACCTTTTGAAGCTCTTGATTTCAGCTTTGCAAAGCAGTTCTGAAAGGCCAGTGGTATCATTCATTGCTTTGATTTCTTATTTTCTTTTCAAATTCTGGTGGGGGAAAAAAAAAAAGCTCTGAGCAAACCAATTGCATTTTTAATGCACTCATAGGAATGCAGCTGGGAGTTTTTTCTTTTCCCAATTTTTTTTGGTGCTAACAGCTATATTCAAAGAACAAGCCCATGCAAAAGCTGCACTGGCTATGAATTAAAAACTTTTGTGTCCAGCTCTTGATTGGGAAGAAAATTATCTTTAAAACAAACGACTTATTTTTTTTTTTCCACTCTCCTGAATTGATGCTAAATCTTAAAATGGGAGAAACTTTCTGGACTTTTGTCAAAAGCAGGAATTTTCTCCCAGTCCCCAGCCTGCAGCATGGCTCCTTACAAGTGCTAAATGAGTTTTTCTTGCTTCTCTGCTGGAACAACCACTGATCCTGATTGTATCAGCACTCCTGCTCCTGTGAAACTCCTGCTGGGGACTGTGTTGTGTTCATTCAGGTTGGGAGGGAAGGTGGCTGTCCCTGAGCAGAGGGACAACTTGTGGTGGAGCCTCTGCTCATCTGAGAGCCACAAGGCCCTGGTCTCCATGACCAAAGGGAAGCCAGAGAGTCTATTATGAAAATGATCAGAGGCTGGAGCAGCTCTGCTCTGGAGCCAGGCTGGGAGCGTTGGGGTGTTCAGCCTGGAGAAGAGAAGGCTCCAGGGAGACCTTAGAGCAGCTTCCAGGGCCTGAAGGGGCTCCAGGAAAGCTGGGGAGGGGCTTGGGACAAGGGCAGGGAGGGAGAGGACAAGGGGGATGGATTAAAACTGGAAGAGGGAGATTGAGGTTGGACACGAGGAGGAAATTCTTTGGTGTGAGGGTGATGAGAGCCTGGCCCAGGTTGCCCAGGGAAGCTGTGGCTGCCCCATCCCTGGCAGTGTTGAAGGGCAGGTTGGATGGGGCTTGGAGCAGCCTGGGCTGGTGGGAGGTGTCCCTGCCCATGCAGGGGGTTGGAACTCAATGATCTTTAAGGTCCCTTCCAACCCAAACTATTCCATAATTCTGTGATGATTCTATGGTTGTTTGGGCTCTGTTGAAGAGCTGGTGGCTCCATCAGTGTGTGCTGCCTGTCCTGACCTGTCTCCAAGGAGCCTTCTGCAGGCTTTCCCAGGTAATAGTGCTGGGAGATGTGCTCAGCTATACCCTTTCCCAGCCGAGATCTTGGGAACAGGTAGCTCATGGCTTCAGCCAGTCCCTTGTCCTGAACTGTTGAACCCTGGGGGGTTGTATCATCACTGCTGTGGGACCACAGCTCCCCAGTGAAGTCTGAAGATGAAGGTCTTGCTGTTGATGCTTGCAGAGGTGCCTGCACCTTGGCAGCCCCGTGCCCAGGGAAGGCAGCACCCAGCACTTTCTGGTGCTGGTGCAGGTACCTGTAGAAGCCTCTTGGATGAAATGGGCACTAGTTTAAGTCCCGAGGGGGCTGCTGCCCTCACTCTTTGAATATCTGTTGTGCAATTGCTTTGTGGTGAGGCTGAAGACTCCTTAGAGTAAAACATCAGTTCTCAGAGGACTAGCTGGTGCTTTACCCCAAGGGTAACAGAGACCAGATCTGCCTGTGTCCAGGGCCTCTTTTAATGGCATGGGATGAGCAGTGACCTGCCTCTGAACACCTCACAACCTCCCATATCCTCTGGTTGATTTCTTTCTCTGGTTGTGTCCACTTTCTTTGGTTTTGAAAATCAGCAAACTGTTCCACTCGGCTTCTGTTTCCTGTGGCAGTTCCCCCTTGGGGAATTTCAGCACAGCCTCTTCCCCGAGGATCTTCCTGCTCTCATCTTTGGTCAGTGGTGGGTGTGCTCCTGGGGAGCTGCTCTGTGACCTGGCTGGTCTCTGATCTCAGTTTGTCCTTTTCTTGGGCTTCAGCTTCCCAGCAGCCAGGTAGAAAGGGAATACCCTGCTTGGGGAAACCATCATAACAGCTTGACTGCTCACC